GGTGGGGCCGTCGGGCGGCGCCGGCGTGTTTGGGCGGGCGGGCAGCGAGGAGGCGGGTGACTCTGGCGGCGCGGGGGAGATGGAGGAGGGGGAGGACGAGGGGATGGCCTCTGGCGGTGAGGGGTCAGGGCAGGACGGCGGCGCCGAGGCGAGCGGCACGGCCGGCGGCGCCGGCAACGGCGGCGGCGCCGCCGCGGGCGGCGCGGGCGTGAGGCGGCAAGGGGTCGACGAGGAGCTCGCTGACATGGCGGACGCGCTGCTGCTGCTCCACGAGGGCGCGTGATCTGATCTGATCTAATGTGGGCGGTCCAACGCCATCTGTCTGGTGTGCGACACGCCCACAAGTGCAGGCCGGCGCACGCGCCGGGCGCCGCCGCGGAACGCTGCCTCGCACCGTGTTCGGCGCCCCGCTTGGGTTGCGGCCGGCTGGCCCAGGAGAATCGCCGCAGGAGCCGCGGCGCGCGTGTGCGCGCACGCACAGGGTGCACTCTCCGCTGCGCCGCGGGTCCGCGGGGCCCGGGGACGGGCGCTCGCCGCCAGGACGGCCTGGCAGCACAAGAGAAGATAAAAGCGAGAACGGCAGACATAAGAGATGAGTCTAGTGAAGAGGCGGCACGGCGGCCCCGGCCCGCGCATCTTGGTTTCACCTTTGTTTTTTTGTGCACACGGCACGGCCCGGCTCCCTCTGTTCCCTCCAAAGGGCGCGTCGCTGCGGGGCCGGTCGCCGCAGGCAGCATTTGACACTGATCGCTGATGGGGTGCCGCCCCCACCCTCTGCAGTGAATACGCGCGCGTGTGTATCATTGTGGCGCAACGCAAGACAGGTTGCGGCCGCTGTTGCGAGACAGCCAGGCACCCCCCACCCCCGCCCTCGCCGTTGTGACAGGGCCGGCGCGGGGCGTGACGCCCCACGCCGCAGGAAGTGGGGTGGGGGTGGCGACGTTTGGACCGGAACTGGGGATGCAGCGGCAGCGCCGCCGGCCGGCGCGCTGATTGTGCGCGCCGCGGCGGCGCGGCTGCGATTTTGTACTAACGAGCTGAGTCTCTCTTGCACGCGGCTATCCCTCACCGGCGCTGCCCCCCGGGCCGCGGCGCGGGGCGGGCCTCACGCCATCCGGCAGCCTTGCCCCACCCTGCCGGGATGCGTGGCCGGGTGCATTGCCCCGCCGCGCCGCGTGCGCGCCGCTGACAAAACTGCGCCCAGCGCGCCCCTCCCCTTTCCCGCGCCGCGCCGCGCTATGTTGTACCGTGGACGGCCCAGCACGCATTGTTGGGCCGCGGCCGGCGAGTGGCATCCGCCCGCAATGCCACCAGCGCCGGCGCCGCGTGCGGCGCGCGGAGGGGGGCGTCGTTGACAGCGCCGCCGCCCGGCCGGGTGCCGCCGGCAATAAGCGCGCCGCCCCCTCTCTTTCACAGTTGTGGAGAAGAAGGCCCGGAAGCCCGCACGTCTGCATGCTTGTGCCCCTCTGCCTCCCACGCATGCATGCTCCCCCCAGCGTTGGCGGGCGCGGGGGCCGGGGACGGCGGGGCGCGCGGCGCTGTGCGCGGGGCGCGTCTCGCGCGGCGCGTCCTTGCTGCACATGTACTATTAATTGCCATGCCAAAGACTGGGGCCGCGGGGCTGCGCCGCCGCGCCACCCGCGCGCGGCGCGAGGCGGAGCGAGAGCTGCCCTTGCGGCGGCGGGCGGACGATCCCTGGCCGCCGCCTGTGTGTGCGCGGGCCCCGCCACCCAGCCCTGCTTCCAACCCAGCGGCGCCCGGTCCCTGCACGTTCGCACGCCGCCGGCGGGCGCCCCCCTTCGCGCCTCATCACCACGACACCCACTATCACTGCGCAGCCGCACACCTGGCCCACGCCCCCTCCAACGCCACCCACTTCTGCAACCCTTGCTCAAGCAGTCCCCAAAGTTTTTTCGCGTCGGTTGCTGCCCGTGCTCTGGCCTCCCTGCAATGCCGCCCCGCGCGGCCCCGCGCGACAGGGGCCGCAAGATTCCGGGCATGTGGCGCGTCGGCAGGGGCTGCCGCGCGCCCGCATCCGCATGCATTCGCAGCGCGGGCGCGGCCCAGCGAGGGTGGGCCGCCCCGCCACCTTTTGAGAGCGGGAGAGAGAGCCTTTGTGGACCTAAGACGCACCGGTGGGGCGAGCCCTTTAGGACTCGGGACCCTTCCACGTCACCAACACACGCGCACGCACGCACGCCATACTCTGACACTTGTAAAACAGATGTACACGACGCCCACCAGCGCGCGGCGGGCCAGCCCCTGCAGGATCTCGCGCCAGGGGCGGATGGCGTGCGGAAAGGACGCCGGCCAAAGCAGCAACGCACGACATCCAGGAAACAGGGCCTGCACTCAAAAATTGAGCATGCCAGCTGCAGGGGCAGCTGAGCCAGGCAGCAAGACACAGGGTACCAGCCGGTTGCGTTGCGTTTTGGCTGTACTCAGAGGACTGTCTGCTGGCTGGAGCGAAGGCTGCATGATAAGCCCCGCACCCACCTTGTCACCCTCAAGGCCCCGGACCCATGTTAGCAGCTACAGTAGTCATTAAGCGCACACCCCTTGGCAAGGAACGGCAAAAAGTTACAGCAATAAAACCTAGAAGCCACAGGCGGCGGCTCACCGATTCCAAGTCTGCATTGCTACCGTGAGCCCCTGAAAAGGAAGCATACATGTGCCAACTGACAGCTGACCCGCTTTAGGTCAAATCTGGTCAACTGTACACCTAACCTACGCCTGACACCCTATCCAGCCTGGCGTACCAACCAAACAGTAGGTCCAAGGCAGCCTCAACCCATCCGCCGGCCCCCCGCCCCGCCGACCTTCTGCACGGCCGCGACGCCCGCGCCGCCGACCGCGCCCGCGGCGCGGGCTGCGCCGTTGCCGCTCGTCAGCGCGCAGGCCGTCGTCTTGCCGCCCTGCCCCAGGTAGCATTTGAAGCTCTCCGACTCGTAGCACTTTGAAAACCCGCCCGCGCCGGCCGGGCAGCCCACCACCTTCAGAGGGCTCTTGTCGCCGGAGCAGAGCGCAGCCTTCTGCGCCCGGCAGTCGTCCACGGGCGGGCCGCCGCCGCCGCCGCTTGAGGAGGAGGACGAGGAGGACGCTGACGTGGCGCCGTTGCCAGCTGGCGGGAAGCCAGCCGGGAAGGGCGCGTTTGGCATCATCATATTGTCGGGTGTTGGCATGAAGCCCATCTGTGGGAATTGGGGCGGAGCAGCGGGCCCAGCCGAGGACGCTGAGGCGCCCGCCTTGGAGGCCGCGCCGTGCTGCTGCTGCTGCTGCTGATGGTGCTGCTGCTGCTGCTGCTGCTGCTGCTGCTGCTGCTGCTGCTGCTGCTGCTGCTGGCGGGGGGCAGAGGCCGGCCGCTGGGGCGCGGGCGAGCCTGCAGCGGCGCCGGCACGTGCGGAGGCGCGGGAGCCGCCGGAAGCGGAGGGTGCGGCCCCGGGGCCAGGGGCGGTCCCAGCGGGGGCGCTGCCGCCATAGTCCTCCTCCCAGTCGTCCCAGCCCTGATCATTGAAGAACGGGGCGTTGAAGAACGGGGCGCCAAAACCTGCACCTGCAGAAGACAAGTGCGGGAGAGGGCACCACGCATCGCAAGCGGCGGGACAGGAGAGCGGGTTGGTTAGGGTTGCTGCTGCAGCGAGGTGCTCCATGTGCAAGTGGGGGCCACGACGGACCGGGCCGCCATCATGTGGCGAGCAAGGGGCGGGTGTGCAGGGTTGCTGATGCGGCTGCGTGCCCCCACTTAACAAGGACCTGCGTCACTCCTGGCAACCCGGCCCCCGGAAACTCGCCCCCTGCCTGCCGCCCAGCGCGGGCGCACCTGTGGAAGCGGCGCCGTTCCAGCCGCCAAATGGCCACGACGACGGCCACGACGGCCAGGGCCACCACGCACTGTTCGGCGGCCCACTGCCGCCCCAGGCGCCGGCCCACGCGCCGGGGTAGCCCCAGCCGAAGGGGCGGGCCTGCTGCGCGTCGCTCGTGGGCCTGGCGGCGCCGGCGATCGCCGCCGGGCGAGTGGCGTTGCCGTTAGTCAGCGATGACGGCGCAATAACGAGGCGGCCGTCCTGAGACACTAGTGAGACCGGCCCGCTGGCGCCGCCGTCGTCGACGCCTACAGCTCCAGCAGGGGCGGGCTCCAGGGCCCGCTCGCCTGCGGCGGTCCCCGAGACAGCGG